TGGGACGACCGTTATCCACTGCCAATGCTGCCCTCCTGGGTGCCGGGTGTTGCCGCTGGGATTGTCTCCTTACACCTCATCCAGAAACTCCTCTTCCCCTACTTTTGGGCTGACCTGAGATACCTGCTAAAAGTATTGATGTATGGGCTGAGAGTGGAGATGTACAGGCTGCAAGGGAGGATTGTCACCGTCCTGGACAAGTTTGTGAAGCTGGCTGAGAAGCAGCCCCACAAGCCATTCCTCATCTACGAAGGGAAGGTGCACACCTACCAGGATGTGGACCGGAGGAGTAACAAAGTAGCACAGGTCTTCCTGCACCACGGGGCTCTGAAGAAGGGCGACACGGTGGCCTTGCTGATGGGCAATGAGCCAGACTTCATCCACGTGTGGTTCGGACTGGCCAAGCTGGGCTGCGTGGTGGCTTTCCTCAACTTCAATGTCCGCTCCAGATCTCTCCTGCACTGTGTCAGTAGCTGTGAGCCCAAGATACTGGTTGTGGGAGCAGGTAGAGTATACACCTGATTCGTGCATCCGAAGCTTCTAATGTCACATCTCCCCCCATGTATGTCTCTCCAGCTCCTTTACTGAAAACCCTATTTTCAGATTTTCACAGAATTAAAGAAACCTAGGGCTAGAAGGGACTTAAGGGATGATAAAGCTTAAGTCTCAGGCAGAATCAAGTATATCCATGCTTTGGGGACATCCATTTAGCCTTTTCTTAAAAAATGTGCATTGAAGGAAAAGTTGCAACACTTAAGTCCAGCCTGTTTCAAGCATTTTAATCACTTCAGTAGTTGCTGAATGTGTATCAGAAAACATTAAAATGAACTATTAAGAATAATTTCCCATTCCTTTTTAAATAGTAGATTTTAATCTTAAGTCATGTACTTTACTCTCCTGTACTATCCCACCATATTTCCTAGTGATCAAAACCACTGCAAACTAGAAGGTCTAAGCTCAGATTGTACAAACGCTGCTGTACAACTTTTTGCAAAGTTATGGTAGTTTTCTAGGGATTAAAATTGAGAGGCTTTTTTTTACAGGTGTAGTACATAGGAGGTTGACTTATAATAACCAACTCACTGTTGGTGTTGGATTGTAGAAGAAATTGCTGTGTTTGAATAGGAGATAATTGTGTAAGTTTCAGAAGTATTACATTTTTATTAAGTTCTTTAAAAGAATTTAGATTCTTGGTGTAGGCATTCTGTGCATTGTATGTTACAGTTGGGCTTCAATTGTAGAGATGTATAAACTGAAGACAGATCCAAAACCTGAACTTGCCTCAGCATTTATGATCAAGTGCAGTGAACCTGCAATGCTGAAAGATCACTTACAACCTTAACGTTTGGTTGGAGGAGATTTCAAAATATTAAAAATTAATGTTGTCCCACCTCTCTAAAATTATTCTGAGTCTACTCTGCCTTATTTCTATTTCACAACTTTTTGCCTTATTCCTATTACACAGGTTGTGGGTTTTGCATCCATGGCATCTAAGTGGTGGGATTTTCTCACACCTGTTCTTGCTGCTGTGAATTTGTGTTTTCAAAAATGTATTCAAGATTTTTCCCTTGCATATTTTTTAATAATAAATTTTGTCATTCCGATTGTATATATGCTGGTTTAAGAATGCTTGGTAATTAGAACAAGCTAAATAAACAAAAGCCAATTTAAATATAATCCCCAAACACATGATAACAGTGCTTCTGAACTGACAGTTTTTAATTTTGCGTTCTTATTTAATAATAATAAAAATTCTCACTTAAAACCCTCTCATGAATATGTGCTTTTGAGCTTACAGATTGAGGAATGGAATTAACGTTCAGGAAATTCTTGCTCATTGACTGTGGTGAAGAACAACTTTGGACCAAAGTTTGTATCTAAAAGTAGTCTTTATTAAAATGAGAGGTTAAGTAATGAGTGAAAAAAATATTTGCAAAGCAGGAACAGGGACCATGTTTCTCCACTCTTAATTTGTTACCAGCAGCTGATGGTAAGAGTGACTGTGTTGAACCAACTTGTTCTAGGAGTCTGCCTCTGCTCAGAAAATAAGAGCTATGTGAAGCCAGATAATACTACAGAGATACCAACAAATTAGTCTCTGAGCTGGTCTTTTATGTGTTGGTCTTCTTATTTTATTCATGAGTTTTAGTCCCTGCGTTGTCACTACCTTGAGTCTTCAAGGCTTCACAGTATTCTTCTTCAGGACTTAGAGGCTCCTGCATATCTCTATCTGTGAAAGAAGTTGAAGTTCTCTTATGTCCTTGTTTTTTTGCCATGTCATATGGAAAAGGAGCCCCTCCAAGGAAGTCTAGGTTCTGCAACTGAAGGTTTATATACTGTTCAGTGACTGTGACAGCTGACTACTACTCTTGAAACAAAAACATTATACACATTATTAAAAAACATTATACAATTATTGTACATAATAATTTCCTCCTATTGTTTATAAAAATTTCGGGGCAGTATTTAGCACTGAGGTTAAACAGTCAGATAATTCTCAGAGGTCTGTTAAATATCTTTTCATCCAGTGGTAGCATGTGTTTCAAGGGATTCTTCCTTATGAGTAGGCATGACTTGAACTTTCTTGAGTGTTTTGCTCTTGTGCTCTTTGCCCATTTGCCACAGGAATGTGCATAGCTTGAACATAGTATATGTTTTGCAAAATATTTCCACTGAAAACAATCAAGCTCTGGTCCACTATCTGTCATTGTCATAGTCGTCATGTTTGGCAACTGAGATTGTTGGTTTGTTTTTTTTTATCAGAGATTACTGTGTAATGGTATTATTTGTGGGTAGTGGAAATTCTGATTTTCAAAAATATGTAGGTTTTCCACTCTCCACAAAAAAATATAGGCTTGACTTAGCAATAATATTTCTTGTAACAGTTACAAAAATACCTTTGCAATATTTCGAATGACCTTCCATCTTGTTCATATACTTCAGCACAGCAGAAATCATCTTCTTTTGCCCAATTACATTTTGACCATTAACTGTCTGTGCTCACCAAGACCAAATTTGCTCTTGAAATTCTTGTTTGTAATGGCACATTGAATCAGCAACCTGTATTCAAATCCACTCAGTATTAAGGTTTCATTTTTGCTGAAGGGAACCTTCCACCTTCTGCTGGTATCTGGAACAGTTCCCACAGATAATTGTTTATTGCTAAATCTTCCTTGCTCAGAATGGTGGTGTAGCCTTCCTCTGAAGGAGATGATTGCATCTTTCAGCTTCTTTTTGTACGTGTTATTTTTCAAAAATGCTTTTATTTTTCAGAAATGTGATATCTCTATCCAAATAGTCTGGGTACTGTTTATGGTTGTGTTTTCTTCCATGTCTTATTCAGTCTTTCAAGCTGCCTTTTGCAGATCTCCCTCATTTGTGGGATTTCTACTCTTCACTTTTATTTTGTGCCTGCATATTTTTCAGAGGTTGTGGTTTGGTAAGATTGTCCAATTAATATCATCTTGTCTTTCCTTCAGCGCTTACAGTCAGGCTTCCTTCTGATCTGACAATTCTCTGATATTTTGATTGCTTTTTCTAACTTTAAATGGGAGTCTTCCGATAGTACATTGGGGGGTTGGTTTTGTCTTACATACTCTATCGCTCTATGCAATTGAATGTTTTATTTTTAAGCCTCAGCTATGTTATAAAAACTTCAAAATTTCTCCCTCTTGTTGGTTTCTTGTATGAAATGGCTATCTCTAAAAGGCTGCATTTTTCTATGAAAGCAGTGTTCATTCATTTAGCACAATCTAGTAACTTGGTTTTTTCCTTCTCATCCAACTGCAGGCTGTAAGGCAAATAGAGATTTTCTGATTTGCCAATATTTAGACTTTGTGTTCCTTTCCAGTATTTCCACTTGCCTTTGTGTAGAGTGAGAGTTTTTGCTTTAGCAATTTTCATTTGTCTGTTGTGTTCCCAGAGCATTTAGCTTTTGCTGTGATTTGTTACATGACATTCTCACACTTCCATTCCAGAAACACTGTCTGCCACCACTCCCATTCTGAGGAATGTTTGTTGAAAGCAATTCAAAAGCTGGAGTCTAAAACTGCATTTTTAATAAAACAGCAGTTAACTAACATGTAAGTAAACAAGGAACCTGTAAAGGAGGAAAAAAGAAGCTGTATGCCCTTTTCTCTAACAGACCGCCAGCATTAGCTTACTCTAACAGCAATCCGACCTGTTTAAAAGGTGTTCATCCGTACTACATTTGTTACCAGATTATTCCACCCTTATTCTTTTAAAAACTACTGGTTAAACAGAGGAGTAAGGTAGTGCTTAAAATGAAGGCACCTTTCTAGGGAATATTTCTATGCATTGGGGTCTTGCTTGAATAACGGATTACATTTTATCTTTTAGACAGTACCTGTTTAACGGGGGTACTATTAAACAACACTTAGACTGCAGTGACGCACCAGAAAGGTACAAATGGAATTTGACAGTGCATTTATAGTATGTTGCTACTCAGAAGAGTTCAGCTCTCAGTAGGACATCCCATGATTGCCATCATGACTTCTGGTGGAAAGATTGCCTTCTAAATTCCATGACATTGGTTTACATCAGTCCTGATAGCAAAGGCTATTCAGGAAGTGTACATGCCACATGGACATGTGTGGGCAGCCTGCTCTACGTGAGTCTGCTTGAGTGTGGGTGCTGGACCAAGATGATCTCCAGAGGTCCTTTCCAACCACAGCCATTCTGTGATTCTGCAGTTCTGTACAGAATTACACATGCCAGCTATGCAGGTATAGCATTTTCCTGGCCAGGATTCTTTACTCTTGAGGTACCAATAGTGCTTTCTGCTGCTGCCGAGTATTCTGAACTTATCACTATCTGAACTTGGAACCAGGGTTTATGCTGGCAGGAGTAAAGTTGAGACAGAAATGCATGTGCGTCCTGGAGAAAGAGAGTAAACAAAGTCTTTTTTGGTATTTGTGAAGGTCATATGGTATTATGTACAAGTAACAGTATCATCTCTCATATGTTAGTCACCGAGTGAAAAAAATAATGGATTTTATCAAAACCATCTTTTCTTAAGTATTTGGAATAAAAAGCTATTTAGACCTACACATTTAGGACAAGGAAACTGTAGAAGACCTGCAGAAGACACTCTTATCTGCTCTGTTAGACACCATGTCCCTTTGATCCCTTTCTTTTACCTAGGCTGTGTCTCTGTCCCAGACAGCCTTTGAGTAGAAAACGATGCCAACTGTGATTCCCAAGCCAAGTTTCTGTTCTACTACCTTTATTGTCTTCAATGGCATTTCAAAATACCAACACTGATCCTGAGCCACAACAGACTTGTAATTTTTTTTATTATTACTTAGTGAGAATGAGTACTGAGTGTAAGGAGTCACTTGAGGGATCAAGTACAAGTAACTATTATTTTCTGAGGCCAGACAGCATGGGGAAGAGTTTGGACTTGCCATAGTTTACTGACCATATCAATCAGGGTGCACATCAAAGTTAGGTAAGAACTGTTTCATGCAGTTTTCCTTCTGAGCAACTTTCTGTTCAGTACAATCTGATCTCATAATCTGATGTATTCCTTTCATCAGTGTAGGACTGTGTCCTTGCCAACAGGCAGCATTGTTTCTTTGCTACAAAACTAGATTAAAAACCTTTTGTGCAACTTGAAGCCTAGGACAGTTATTCAAAACCAGAACATATTTTCCTTGTTTTCTGGAAAGATGTAACTGAATTATGTATTAATGTGAATTTAATGTAACAGTTTCACAGACATTTTGCTGTGTAATGAAATGCCTTAAAAGCAAGAGGGGAGAAAACCCAACCAAACAAACAAAAAAAGTGGAGAAGCATATTAATCTCAACCAATAACACATACTTTTTTTTTTTTTTCCCCAGTAGAAGCCAAATAGTAGACAATGGTGACTATTCGTATACAAACTATCTAAACAACATACACAGAACTGCTGACTCCATTGCCAAACTTTAGATAAGCGGTCATTTCTTCCAAAACAAATATACCAAAACCATGAATATACTGTCATAGCATAAAAAGCAAAGAAGTACTTGAGAGAAACTGCAAGGTTAAATAGCGAAATTACTTTACTAGAATGGATTTCCTATATGGTGAAATACACGTACCAGGTACCTCTAGAAATAATCAAGCTACAGTTCCTCCAAAAGGGCTGCTTTTTCTTGACACATGGACAAGATGATATGTAAGAACTAATAAGCCCTATGCAACATCTGGCACAGAAGTTCTTTGTTCATGGAACAAAACATCGGTTGACTATCATCAGAATTATTCTTTGGAAACATGTAGTACAACTGAGTTATCTCCAAACCACCACATGCTCCTGTGCATTCCAGAAGTAATTTTTAGTTTCTGGCATTTTGAATACAGCTATTTTAAATCACCCTTTCTTGGTCAGGAAATCACTTATTGTTTCTGCGCTTCTCTGCTATTTAGAAATGTCTTTCAAGACAGCATATAATTACAAGCTCTTCACATATTGCTCCAAGTTACTAGATTCCTGAGTACAGAAGAAAAATTCTATCACAGAATCATAGAATAGTTTGGGTTGGAAGGGACCTTTAAAGGCCATCTAGTCCAACCTCCCTGCAGCAAGCAGGGACATCTTCAACTACATCAGGTTGCTCAAAGCCCTGTCCAACCTGACCTTGAATGTTTCCAGGGGTGGGGCTTCTACCACCTCTCTGGGCAGCCTGTACCAGTGTTTCACCACCCTCATTGTAAAAAATTTCTTCCTTATATCTAGTCTTATATCTAGTCTAAATCTACCCTCTTTTAGTTCAATGGTAGTTAAAAAAAAAACAAGCAAGCCTCTGTCCAACAACAAAAAACCTTAGGTTTTATGAGCGTTTAGAGAAACAATAAACGGTGTGTATGTTTAATTTGAAGACTCATCTTAATTATTTAGAGTAAATATGTTTCAGTTTACTAAAAGGCAGCTATGCCCTCCTGTCATTCTTCAGTCTTAAATGATTATGTCTGTAGAGTTGAAATTAATAGTTGCCATCTTTTTTACTTTGGAAGAAGGAAAGAAAAAGGGGGAAAAGGAAAAGAGGTAAGTCCTTTTTGACAGACTTGCACTTCATGTTACTCAAATACACAATGAACACGGTGCACACCTTATCTAGAACTTCTGAATATTAAAAAAATAGAAATATTTGTGAACTTCATGTCATGCAGTCCTAAACAAAATTGTCTTCTGTAGAGAAGTTAAGAGTTGGTAGGTGATGCAGCTTCATCTTGCTAAGAAATGTTAAAAGCAAAACAATTTAAGGAAATGCAAGAAGGAATAATTTATCTATGGAAAATAAGGAGATGCCACAGTGATACCTTTGGTATCTGCAGTAAAGGGTGATACTTACTAAGGGTTTTTTTTTTTGCCAGGCCTTTTGCAAAAGGATAGTTTTCAATTAAACATTACGTTTAGAATTACAGTTTAGTAACGCAGGATAATTTTACATGATAACTTTTATTGTGCAGTTTTTCTCGATATGTGTACATCATGCTTGTTATCTGGTAAGGACACTACACAGGATGGTCAGCTGAGTCTGGTTGAAATGATTACTGGAACCTGGAGGAGCCAAGAAATTCTCAACAATCCTTAAAGATTAACAATCCTTGATACCTTTGCTGGCACTGTAGTTGAAGCCAGTGCATCAATAAAGAATGACAGAAAATGCTATATTCTTTTACTGGTTTTGAGGACAGAAATGGAGCTCCAGCCACTTGTGACACCTGTGTTTCTTTTGCTAGGTTCTCAGCCTAACTTCTACCTACACAAAGTATGATTAGTATATTTAGGAGACATATATGTATATCTATGCATAACAGGAAGACAAAAACCAGAAAGACAAAAATCAGTATTAGAAGGTAATAAGTATATAGTTATTCTGTCACACTTCGTTTATTAGTAGCTGCTTTTTGTTAGAAGTAATACTGATGTATTTTCATATTTATACTTGAAAAATATACCTTAATTTTATAATACAACAGCAAAATGTAGTTAATATGCCAGTGAACTTTGACTTTCAGTGCATTTGGTTTCTTGTAGTGCTTAATGTTATTTTTTTATTAACATTTTTTCATTCTATTCTTCCACTATCCATATCCACATATGGATAGTGGAAGGGAACTGTACTCCAGTGATTCAAACAGGAGGCTATCTGTGTTTTAGATTTTCATAATTATTTGGGTGATTCCTTCCTGAAATCATTCTGCAGTGCAAGGAAGTTAGAAAACAAAAATTTTAGTGTCACACTCCATCATATCTATTTGCTAAACATTCATAAAATATATAGAACTCATAGGATTTAGTTTTGTAAGACATATGTTTAGTTGGCGACAGTAAGCTATATCTCTTGTTAGTATGTCATTCATTAAAATATATACAGCAGTCTGTCATTAGGAAAGTAGTTTTATGAAAGATTAAAAATGTTCAGTTATTTTGGAGTAAAATTTATACAAGTGAGTTCTATTAATGGTATATTTAATATTTGTGAAATGAGCTTGGAACTGACATCAGGATTTCAAATGCTGGCTCTGGCAATGCCTCATTATGAGGTTCTTGGTGAGTCATGTCAACTTTGTTTGTTTATCCTTCTATAAAAACTGAGATAATAACATATATTTATACCCACAGGGATATTTGCAAGATTAATTACATAGGCTGAGATCCAGCAAAGCACTTAAGTGTAAATCAGTCTTTAAGTATATGAATAGTTCTATTGAAAGTGATATTACGCCTGTTCTTGAGAATTTTACTGGATTTAATGCCTGTGCAGTGTTCTGAGAAAGTGACAGATTATAAAAATGCTTAGAAATATAAGCATAAATACCAACTGTATTACTTAAGGATTGGCCTTTATTTATATTTTTTCTTTTTGTTTAATTTGGGACTCACTTTTATGGTTTCTTTCCTGATAAGCCAACAAAACAGATCTTCCTTATGCTGCTGGTTTTATTTTATAAAACTGAGTTTGTATTCCTATTCAGATAAAAGCCAATAGAAGGAATGACTTTCAGTGAATGAAGATGTAATCATAAGAAAATAAAATTGTCTGTTGTCCCTAAAATCAGATTCATTAAAGTATCTAAAACACTCAAAGCACTACTCAAATAGCCACGTGGTTCTTTGGCAGTGTCTGAATAAGCCATGGGCCTGTATCATGTTTCTATTCTGTGAAATTCAGGTACCTACATACATGATAACAGTTTTTTGTTTGTGTGTTTGTTTTAAATTAGTCACTTCTGTGCTTTTGAAAAAAATACTGCTGAATGAGAGACTGCTGTTGAGGGCATCCAGGAAACCTGCACTGTAGTTACCAGCTATGCATATATACTAGCCTTGCATCTTTAACAGATTTTTCATTATTTATTTGAAGTTGAAGCTTAACTACACTTCATTTTGGTCTTAGAAATGAAGGTTATGCTAAATGAGGTGGGAAGATAGAGCTAGTAATCAGGGCTCACCATTTTGCCATGAGGGATAGCAGATGATTAGACCTTGTGGGGTCAGCAGTATTTTTGCCACATTATGTCCTGCTTTCAGTGAATTTTCATTCTAGTTCATCTTTATTTTACTGAATTTATATACGACCATGGAGCTTGCTTTCATCCTTCTTTCTATTATAAAACGGAAAACTTTCAGAGGAAAAATACTTTATTCTCTAGTTTTGTAAAGTTCTTTGTGATGTAAGTAACATTATTTTATGTTAATTTTTAAGATTTGCTTGGGACAGTGGAAGAAATTCTTCCTAACCTCCAAAAAGATATTACTGTGTGGATAATGACCAAAGACTCCACTTTTCCAAGTGTGCATACCCTTTTGGACAAAATAGAGGCTGCATCTGAAGACCCTGTTCCAGTTAATCAACGCTCTGCCAACAACCTCAAGTCATCTGTTTTATATATATTTACTTCAGGAACAACAGGTACAGGTCTGCTAAAGAGTCTGCATTTTCCTTCAACTTTCATCTAGAAACTTGCTTTTCTGAAGCTAATGTTTTGGTTCATCTTTTCATAGTAGAATATCATATATTTATCTAGAAGTATTACGGTAGAAAATAAGCACATTTCTTGTCAGTGACTGCTTATATTCAGTGGTTTATGGGCTTCTCTTCTTTTTTTTTCCTGCCACGTTGTACAAATACTATGAAAAGCTTTAACTCTTATTACTTCACAGCTAAGGTGTTTATAAAATGTTTTGCTCTTTTGGTGGGTTTAAAATGATAATAAATGTTATTTTGTGATCACATACCACTGCCTAGCCAATGTAGCTAACATTGCACCGAGAACTTTAAAAACAATCTTCAAACAAGCCACTAGTCATTTGTTTTCTCTTCATTAAGTCATGTTCTATGCAGGTCACTGTAGAGACAGAAAATAGGATTAAGTTACTAGCCTTTTAGTTTAGAAACAGATGGCTGAATTTATTACCAGTGCTCCAGCAGCTAAGAAGCTAAGACTTTAAAAAAACTGATCACTGACATGAAAAGCAGCATGGTGTTGTTAAGATAAGCAGATTGGCATTCTCATTCAGCTGAACACAACAGTTTTAGTCACAAGAAGGTTTAAAATGAAGATGTGTTTTATGGCTTTGTTCTCTCATACAAATAATTATTTAATTTATTTGCTTCAGGTTCTGGAGAAAAATTAGGAAATAAAAATATCAATCTAGAATAAAAAAATTAGGAAGGTACAAATACTGTCAATAGGTCAGGTGTGTTTGTAATATAAATATGGTTGAGCTTGCTGGTTAGAAGTAAGGGCTTTTAGCTAAAAAATATTACAGATTTCTCCAGGTGGGAGGATTTTGTTCTTGTATCTGCATGCAGAATATCTCTGTGAAGTCTCAAATGTTAGTTATGTAGAATTTAAAATATTTTTGAAGGCTTGTATGTACTACATTAATTTACATTAATTTGTTCAAGACTCTGTAGAGCACTTCTTGCTATAGGTGGTTCATTGGCACATCGGCTTATTACCTTTTCTCTTTAGTGTGATAGTGATGGGTTTTGGAACAGCTTTGAAGTGTAGCTAGAATCTCCATAGATGACACATCCAGTTAACAGCTCTAGTTCGGTCTTCAAATGAATGGTAGCTTTGCTAGAATAGGTGAGAAAACTTTCCGAACCATTAAATTTTCTGAAATTTTTAACAGTTCTCACTGTTCATCATCAGGACTCAGCCTGAAATTTCTGTGTGTATTTGAGAACATATTTGAAGCAAGGACAGATGCCCTACTCAAAATAATGGGTACCAGAGAGTAGCCCAAGAAGCTCTTGCATGAGTCTGCATGTTGCTGAACAGAAATTCTGTGCTGAACCTGAAGAAACTCATTAAGAAGAACCTAACTGAAGTGGACTTTTTGCTGGACTTTTTTGGGTTTTTTCTACACAGTCTTCATAGTGTTCTAAAAAAAATAGGTAGGCTTAGACATACACAATTTAGATAAGCACCCACTATATGACCTACTTTGTGTAGATCCCATACCTTTCTTAATTACATTAAAGTCACTATGACTCTTGCCTGAAAGAGAACTAGTGATTGGTGCCTCTTTGTGTTAAAGGCAGTCCATATGCACAGTAAATGCTTTTGGCCCTTTGTTGGCTCTGTATAATTTGATAACATGCTAACCATGGAGTTTCTTCATGTTTCCACCTATTGAATTGAGTTGACATCAGATTAAATAACTAACAGATGAGGTTACAAATTGGCTTATGTATCTTTATGTGAACAGAACAAAGATGCAATACTGTATTAAACAGCCAGATGTCTATTAATGGCTACCTAAAAGATGGCTGAAAATTTGGTCATGGAAGAAAGAATTGATTCTTTTATGACTTTAGAGACCGTACACAGGAAAAAAAAAATAAACTGAGTTCTCTTTAAGAGGAGCTTTATGCATGGTTTTGTGTTTTCATTACAGGTCTTCCAAAGGCTGCAGTCATCAGTCACATGCAGGTTCTTAAAGGAGCTGCTGGACTGTGGGCTTTTGGTGCTACTGCAGAAGACGTCATTTATATTACTCTGCCTCTTTATCACAGTGCAGCATCTCTTCTTGGCATCGGTGGATGCATTGAATTGGGTAGGGCTTGTTTCATTTAATTGTTTTGATAATAGAGAATTGATTATTATTAAAATGTATAAACCACACTTAGGTTCACGCCATTAGGGAAACTAATGCTTTGTGGAAATCAAATGAATACTCATTTTTGTAATAGCTTCACATTTCTGTACTTTGGGGATGGGGCGGTGTTGTAATAATGAAGAATCTCTTACAAGCTATCTTTGTGGTACTGAAGAAGAATTAATTATAGTAATTTGTGTCACAAATGTTTTTACTTTCTTTTATATTTAGGTAAAAAGGAATTTAAGGATGTATGTAATTTTTTGGCAGCGTGTATGGTGCATTACTGTGTGTACAAACTAAGCATTGTACAGTGGAATAGAACAAAAATGTATTTTGGCAAAATTGAAAAGACTGACAGATATGTTTATATTCAGCTTTGTCCTACACCATTAGATGATATATAACTTCTTTTCTATTTAATTTGTGTGCTGTTTTGCCATGGACAATAAAATACACTATATATAAGAGTCCTCAATGACTCTTCTATAAAAGATTTATTTGGAACTTGATGGCAAATATTTCCTGTTTCCTGAAGCATCAAGGACAAGTCAGAGCAAGGGAAAGATCGTTGGATTATGTATTAATTCTATCTGAAACTGCATCGATGAGTACTTTCTTTGTTGAAAAAGGAGGTTTCAGTGATACCCTAATTCAGGCTCACTTTTCTGGATGTTTTCAGTTAACCTCTTTTGAATAATGTTGCAACACCAACAAAGAGAAGCTATCTTCTTGCTTTTAACATTTTATCTGTTGGTTTACTGTCTCACCACGGAGGAGACTGAGTTCTTCTTTCTTTGTCTACCAGGTCTGAACATACATCTTCTAATGAAACAGCTTAAATACCATATAGTTCTCTGAACGAGACTGCTCTTAGTTCCTCTTATGTTGTATTTTGTAGAAATAGTGAACATAGCTAGCTAAGATGACATATAGAGAAAATGCTTAATTTCTTTTTCTGCTATTTCCATAAAGGTGCGACTTGTGTGTTAAAAAAGAAATTCTCAGCTAGTCAGTTCTGGAGTGACTGCAAAAAGTACAATGTGACTGTCATCCAGTACATTGGAGAACTTTGCCGTTACCTTTGCAGCCAGCCAGTGGTAAGTTCTTAATGTGGGTATGATAAAAGAGAAATGAAACTGTACTGAACCTGTCCCTCTGCCCTTCTTATGTGAGGTTCTTCAAATACTTTCTGATCCGTAGATGTGCAAGAAGCAAATGGCTTGAATCAGAAAGAAGTTAAAATATTAAAGAAAAAGATTTTGATACTAAAAATTAATTCAGTATCATTTGGTGTAAAAATACTATTTCACAGAGTTTCACAATGTAAGTTCAGAAAACCGGGATTACTGTTCAGTGTCTTTTCAGAAATTTCAAAACTTTGTTTCTTGGCATATAAGTATACCGGAGGTCTCAAGGTTTGTAGGTCATACTGTTTTGGCTTGTGGAATGTGCTTGTTTTGAGACCATTTAAACCATATTTTAAGATTTGGAAGGGGTTTGGTTTAGGTTAGCAGCTCAAAGGAAGAAGGAAAACTATTCCAGAAAACAGAGCTAGTCTAGTTAAAATGACATTCCATTAGCCTTAACTCGAAAAAACTTTTTCTCTTGGCAGTCATGGTGTGATGGTCTATGTACATCATATCAAGTGCAAAGTATGCTGAACCTGTTGTAATTACTGAGTATAGCTGACTCAGTTTAACCGAATTAACTCTTCATCTGTCTGTTTTCTGATATGTTTCTGCATCTACACATTGACGATAGAGCAGAAGATGATTAGGCTAAGCTAAATGCCTAAAATTCATTGGAATTAATTCAAGATACATAGAATAATGTAGACGGAACAGACATAACCTGTTGCATAGCAAACTCAACTCACTTTCTATCCTCAAATGCTTGTGCTAAATGTGTCAAAATGAATATGAAACAGACATTCGTAGTCCAGTATAAACTAAAATTCATCTTGATAATGCTGGCTACTTCCACCCCTTTACAAGCTGCAGGTTGTTCTATTGCATATCAATATAATAAATCCTAATCATTACATCATACATTATCTTACCTGGTTAAGCATTTTAATAAATGACTTTACACAACTACTTATGATCATAAACAGCTTTTATTTTGAATACTAAATAAAAATAAATAACAGCTTCCAAGTACCTGCTTAACATTAAGCAAAAATAACTGTATAGCTAAAGAAGCCCAGTCTGAACCCTAGGTTTGCCAAAGCAGAGTTTCAGGCAAAAATAAATAATTTTTGTAAGAGTTTCTTACGAACATAAATCATTTTATAGAATGATACAGCAGCAGGGTCAGCTTGAGCTGAGTGCCTCCAGAGAGGGACCCCAACCAAAGAAATCAATGGCCATTTATGCCCTTACAGACTATGCATCTACCATTCATGCGATCACACTGTTCATACGCTCTTTGGTCCAATGGTGATTCTGGCCTGAGATCCTCCGACACTTTCTGACTCCTTGTTGGATTCCTGTTCCACTGTCTTCAGGCAGGCCTTTATCTTGACTAGTTGCAGCTGCTGTTGATGGTTGTAGCCTTGAAGCCCCCTTATTTTCAGGTTTGTGCTGGCTCTGGAGACCTTGTTTTGCTTGAATGGATAAATCTCGGCAAAAGTTTACAGCTTGCAGCCTAAAGCTTCAGCAAATCTAGCTGCTCATGCTATGTGAGTAAAACTAAGCAAACAGCATACTAAATCACACAACATTACTACTGTAAGTGATAAATTCTATTTAAAACTTACTTTTTAAGGCAAATTAACTAATATCTCTTAACATGTATCCTCTTTAAATTTAAAAAAATGTTTGGGAGAACACAAAGAGATTTGTGAAAATATACAGAAGTTGGATACAATGCAACTGTTATGTCTTTGAACGTTCTTCCCTTGCCTCTATCTAAATTTCATTTTGTGATTTCAAAAAATTAATCAGTAGTTTATTTCCTTTTCAGTGAGTTTTATTGAAATGACTTATGGCAGGGGCGTTGGAACTAGACGATCTTTGAGGTCCTTTGCAACCCAAATCATTTTATGATTCTATGATCTCTTAGGAAGTGGTGCCAATAATTCCAGTTCATTAATCTGAAAATTCTTTTCTGATTGAAGTCCTCATTTTATGATTTTCAAGAATAACCTCCGTGAGCAGTGATCTATGAGAATGCAAATCAGTCTTGTTTTGCAGCAGAATAACAATTTGCATTAATATCTCAAGTTGCTGACCAAAGCATGGAAAAGGTCAATGTTTATAAGACATTGGATATTTCTTTTTCTTCTGAAAATTTTCAGAAGTATTTTTAAGTAGTGTAGTGGTGGGTCATAGATCCTACAGCACTATCCATGCATGCCTCAGCAAGAACATTCTTCAATTAAAGAAGGCATGGCTGATATCCCAGTGACCACCACTGGCTGTGATGTGAAACCAGCATAGTGATACCTTTCTCACTTGGTTTCTTTTTTTTTGGTGTGGTTTTTTTTTCCCTTCATTTTTATTTGTTTGGGTTTTTGACTTTATAATAAAATAAACAAAGTTAGAGATTAACAAAAAATCAAGTTAAAGACCATGTGGAAAATCAAAACATATAAAGGGCCTAGCTTTAATAAGTCGTGATTTTTCTTCATTATACATTAACATGATTTCCCAAAAGTCATCTCCCTTCTCTCCAACACTTCTCAAGTTTTGCTGAGTTTGCAGCCTGAGATATTGTCTCCCTTTTCTGTCCTTTAACCGTACAGTTAGAGCATGGCATTTTGTTTTATCCATTTTAGCCTGTTCAGTATCTTAAAGCAAGAATAATAGATTAATATCCTTCATTTTCTAAAACAAACTCTTTCATTTTTAAGTCTTTACCAAGCCATTGTAAAATTAAAGGAGTTTTAAATTTTGCAAATAAAGTTATATATACACCATCATGAACTATTTATATACTATATTTATACTTTCATTAACTAGTCATTAACTGTATAAATGTTCTGTTTATTAATTTATGTGCATACTTTCTAGGAGCTGTATGTTTAAACTCTTTGTTCTCTGAGGCTATGGGGTTTTTTTGGGTTTGGCGTTTTTTTGCTAGCTGGCTAAAGAGAAACCTAATGTACCTTATCAAGAAAAATCAAAATTATTAAATGAATCAGTCTGACAATTAGGTACTTGAAGAAAAATGTTAAGTATTTGTCATGTTAAAACTGGAAGAGAAGCATGTTCACACAAGTAAGTGGAAGGATTTTAAAAAAGTTACACAATCCATTATTATTTTTCAAGTAGGTGAAATAATTTGCCATGTTGTTATCTCTCTTTAAGTTTCATTAACTTAGAAGTACTATATATACCGGCAGCATGAGAAAAATAAGGCTAATACAAGTTTTAAAGCTCTATGAAGATACTATGTGGGCAGTGTTCTCAAAGTTAGAGCACTGTAAAGCCATACTAATGAACATAGATTAAAACCATAGCAGTTATCTTAAGTGCTTCATTTGTTTCTTTAACACTAAATCTGAAATAAATGGTATATTTCTAACAGTTGGAGGCCTCAGTGTGGCCTCTTATTTAATAGATTTTGAACAGAACTTTTGGCAAGTCTCTGTGGTACTGTATAGACTCTTGGCTTAGCTTTCCTAATTAGTTTTGTCTTGTTTGATCTTTCTGCCTCCCACTCACATCTGCAACAGCTCTTCAACAGTCTTTTGCAGTAGACTTTTTCTGAAATTTGTTCTGCATCCAGTCTGGTTTAGTAACCTGTGGACTGGAAAGAATATTCGTTAGAAAAGGAGGTTGTCTTTTTTCCTTATGTACGAGTACAAAGACTTTGCATTAAGTGACATTCATAGATTTTGCTGGACTCCTAAATAAGTGAGTAATCCTCATGCCTGCCCTCTTCCAGGCTCTTTTTGTGCAGTCTTTTAATCACAATGAAAGTATAAGAACCAGCACTGATGGCTAGTAGCTATCAGTACCTACAAAACAGATCCTGCTTTAAGATACTAGCATGACTACTCCAGTGAAAGAGAATATTCAGCAAATTAATAACTTGGTCTTGCTGACTGGCGTTGCTCAAAGTCTGTATTAACAGTGATCTAAAAATTTCAGAAGTATGGCTTAGCATAGCTCCCTATATCCTCTCTAAGCAAAGGCCTTGGAAATACTTTCCTCCTAATCTGTGGATGTATTTTCCTTAGAGGGTTGCAACACATTTAAAATTGAACATTTAAAGTATATACAAAATCTTCCTAATGCACATGCAGATTTATTTCAAATTTGAAGTAATGAGATATTTAAATAATACATTGCATCCTGAAGCTT